TTATTTGCAAAACAGAAATAGACTCACAGACATAGAAAACAAACTTATGGTTACCAAAGGGGGTAGCGGAGGCAGGGGGCACAGGCAGAAGGGAGATACATTAGGAGTTTGGGATTAACATATACACACTACAATATAGAAAATAGGTAAACGACAAGGACCTACTGTATAGGACAGGGAACTATACTCAGTATCTTGTAGTAACCTATAATGGAAAAGAATCTGAAAAAGAATATGTGTGTGTGTGTGTGTGTGTGTTTGTATGTATAACTGAATCACTTTGCTATACGCTTGAAACTGACACAACATTGTAAATTAACTATACTTCAATTAAAAAAAAATAGATTTGGGGCACAGCCAAGCCCTCCAGGCCAGAGTCCTTTCCTCGCCACTGTGCATAGACACATGGTACTTGTCACGTGCTGACTCTCACCAACTCCTACCAGAAACAGAAATGACTGAAAGACGCTAAACTAGCAAGAGCCATTCAGGTGCCGTCCTTCCCCCTTCCCCCTGACCTCCACCCTGAACACTCTCCCGTCCCACTTGCATCTTCCTCCTTCCTTCTTTCAGGTCTCAGCTCAGACGTCACCTCCTCCAGGAAGCCTTCCTTGGTTGAGGTGCTTCTGCTGTATGCTCCCAGAGCCCCCTGAACTGCCCCCATAGGAGTACCTTCCCCATGGGATTTTCTAGTCCGACTACTTATCTCTGACTACTTATCTGCCTGCCTATCAGACCATGAGATGTGTGAGGGCAAGACCAAGCCTTCTTCTCATCTCCCACACCCACGATGGTTGTACATAGCTCACCAGATACCTGTGTAACCTTATCTCTATTATCCTATTAGATCCTCCAGCTGTCTTAGAAGGCAGAAAGATTGTTATTGATACCCATTTCACACATGGGAAGACGGAGGTCCTCAAAAGGGGAAGCAGCTGCCCAGCATCACTCCTCAGTAGCAACTGACAGCTGGAGGGCTGGGACAGCGGCGTCTTCATCGATGTCAAGTCTGGTCCTTTCCTGGGGCTCTTGGCACCTCTTGAGTCGAGGACTGGGTTTGAGACAAATTGCCGCGTAGAGGGATCGATTCATCTCAAATCATTAATGGTACATTATCTGAACAAATGCTAAGCTTAGGTGCCCCAGCTTCCCAGGCATGGCATATCCCCTGCCCAGCTCTGCTTTGCAGATGGTGACGCTCCCCCCACCCCCAGCTGTGAACCCATCCTGGGATCTCTTTGGACACCTTGCGGAGAGAATCGCGGTCCCTTCTCCACCCTACGGGATGCTCTCTGGCTCCCCAAGGCCAGCCCTCCACCATTTCGTCTCCTGTTCGTGTGTGGCAGTTTCAGTCAATACCTGCCCATTCCAAACACGCCTATCACCCGCACACATGAGGTTCCCATGCACGGGGGCTTCCGCTCTGGGGAGCTCCAGGGCTGCTTATCTGGGCTCAGCAAATCCAGCCCTGCGTCCCCCTTCCTGTGTGGACACCAACCCAGTGGCCAGCGGTATTTCCCAGAATGCCACGACCGGTGGCATAGCCCCACAGTTCTGCTTCCTCTCGGAAATCCAAAGGCACAGGGGACTGAGGGGGTGGGAGGGCGCCTCAAGGAAGGTCCTCGGCCACTGGTGTCCTGGAGCACCTCTCCTGTGTAGTCAATGGCATGGACTCTCAATCACCCTTTGGCCCACAGCCTAGTTGTCACTTCCTCCAGAAAGCCTTCTGTATTACCACCTCGGCCCTTAGTTAGAGGAGTCTTCTAGTTCAATGACACGGCTCAGCGTTTGTGTCCAGAGTGGTCAGGCACTAAAAGCTCCAGTAGACAAGCTCAGGGATTCGGACTTGCTCTTGAGGTCCATGGAAGCCACTGAGGAGTTATAAGCAAGGACGGAAGATTAGCTCAGTTGTGCCTTAGGAAGACCCCTCAGTCTGAAAGGTAGAGAAATAGAGGGAAGAAGTCCCTGGGTAGAGAGAAGCAGCCGGAGACGATGGCAGTGACCCAGCAGGCCAGAGGTGGCGCTGGCAGTAGGGCGGGGACAGTGGCGTGGCAAGGAAGCAGGCAGAAGCAAGGCGGTAGGAGGACGGACCTCCCAGTGGCTGACAAGATGAAGGTACGTGGGCGACAGGAAGAGGCCAGTGCGGCCCCCAGGATCTTGTCTGAGGGACTAGGATGGCGGTGGGGCACTACTAAGCTAGCGCACCCAGGGTGAGGTGAGAATTCCCTGAGATGGCTCTGAAAACTGTATGTAAATTAAGCAGTGCTGGGACTTCCCTGGCAGTCCAGTGGTTAAGACTCCACACGTCCACTGCAGGGGGCACGGGTTCGATCTCTGGTCAGGGAACTAAGATCCCTCATGTGGAGTGGTGCGGCCTAAATAAATAAATAAATAAATCGTGCAGTCCTGCTCCAAAAGTATCTTCTTGGCATTTTGTTAAAGATTTCCGCTGTGTGCAAAGTTGAGCCAGGGATTCCTCGGTCAGCTTCCAGAGCCCCTGTGTGCCCACGTCCTGATTCCTGCCTGGCTCTGAGTCCCGGCTTCTCTCGTCCTCCTTCAGGAAGGAGGACTGACCCCCGCCCCCCATCTCTCAGGAACCTCCTCCTCCTGCCTTTCACCAGCCCCCAGTGGGTTCTGAGCTGCCGAGGTCACCAGGTTCTTTCTCATTCAGGGGTCCTCTCAGCTACACAGTCAGCCTCCTGTGGGGAACACTACATCCATCTCCCCAACCCAGAGAGGAGAGGGCCTGACTCGGGGCATGGGCCAGGACGGACACCCAGGCGTCCGGACAGCTGGCCCTGGACTCTCTTTGCAGCTGCATCCTTGTGGTGGGGTAACATGGTGGCTAAGAAGGGCGTTCAAAGCCAACTTTGTGACTAACCAACGGATGCTGTAAGTGATTTGCTTAGCCTCTCTGTGCCTGCTCCCTCATTCTTGAGAGCAGACGTCAACAGTAGTAGCTCCCCCACTGCTGGGTCTCAGGATCAAATGAGTGGCTCTAGGAAACTGCTTAGCCTGGCCCCTGGCCTGTAGTAGGCTTTCAGGGAATTGCAACGATGATTGCTGTTAAAAATGTCTATGGTGCCCAGGGTCCCTCCCTGGCCTGGGTGAGGGGAGACGCCAGTAACAGTCCAGCCCATGCTCAAGGAGAGGGGAATGAGGCTGCACTTTTGAAGGCAGGAGTGTCAAAAAGTAATGGGCAGGACTTCCCCGGTGGCGCAGTGGTTAAGAATCCGCCTGCCCATGCAGGGGACACGGGTTTGAGCCCTGGTCCGGGAAGATCCCACATGCCGCGGAGCAGCTAAGCCCCTGAGCCACAACTACTGAAGCCCGCACACCTAGAGCCCATGCTCTGCAGCAAGAGAAGCCACCGCAGTGAGAAGCCCGCGCACCGCAATGAAGAGTAGCCCCCGCTCGCCGCAACTAGAGAAAGACCGCGCGCAGCAACGAAGACCCAAAGCAGCCAAAAAAAAATGTAATGAGTAAATTTTAAAGCCTCACATTTGGCACCTATATGTGATGAGATTCAACCTAATTGTCATTAGCCGTGGTGGCAGCTGGTCGAGGGCACAAGCTGGCCTCATCCAAAGTCCTTGCTCTTAAGCACTGTCTCGTGGTGCACCTAGGCCATGTGGCTGAAATCACACACCTTCTCTCTCCAAGGGCAGCAGCAGGAACCTCTGTTATTCCAACACCCCCAGGCTCAGACCTCAAGGGAACCAAATCTGCCGCCTCCAGGCTTGCTGTGCCCCCCGCCACTGTCTGCTAGCTGAGTCCCCCACACTGAGAGGCAGCTTTGCCCACCCTGCTGCCCAGTGAAGAATGGCACGCTCCCCGTTCAAGGGTGCTCACTGGCCCTTATCACGGGAGAGTGATGTCTGCAGCGCTGAGTCGCAGATCCTGCTTGCCTGGTCAGCACTGCGGAGGGCAGGGAGGCAGCAAGAGACAGACGCTGCGCTTGACAAACACCACGTGGCCGGGCAGGCAGGCAGGAGCAGAATGAAATCAGAAGGGAAGGAGGTGAACCTGGCATCCTGACCAGGTGCTGGTGGACACACCGGGCTTCCACAGGGGGGATCTAAGATGGAGAAAATCGGTGACCTTGGTCATAAAGGGGATTGATTGGCCCGGGACCCATTGTGCCTGCCGAGGTGTGGCCTTGACTGGCCCTGCTTCCTGGAGGAAGGGTGCCCTCAGAGACTTCAATTCACCAAGGTTCAATTAGCTAATAAGTTGTGCTGGGGCGGGAGGAGGCTGGTGGAGGTTTTCCAACTATGAACACCAGAAGAGACGGCTTCAGGGACCCGAAAGGGCCTGACTGTGACCCTTGTCCATGGGAGGAAGAGGGAGCTAAGGAAGACGACGGCTTGGCTTTGGACTCAGATGGAGCTGAGTTTAAACAACCTTCTTGGGCAAGTCCCTTCCCCTCACCAAGGCTGCTTCCCCATCTGTCAAACAGGAGTGACAATCCCATTTATGGAGAGCCAGCTACGCGCCAGGCACTTTGCTACCAATCTCAAGGGCGTGAACTCATATAATCAGAACCAGAATCCTAGGAGGTAGCTACTACTATTATTATTTGCATTTACAGATGAGGAAACTCAGGCCCAGAGAATGAAATGACTTTTCACAGGTCCCACTCTGAGTTGCACACCAGGAATCAAACGCAGGCAGCCAGCTTGTACCTAAACCCTTGGACGCGCCCCTTTTCTTCCTCTTGTCATGAAATACACTAACAACAGCAAACTAGCAGCGCGGTCTATGGGCTGAAACAGTAACAAGAACTTTCCACGGATGAACTCCTTTAATCCTCACACTAAACCTATGAAGTGGGAACCAATGTAACCTCCATTTACAGATGAGGAGGCTAAGAAACAGAGAAGGTGAGTTACTCACCTAGGTCACCAAGCTCATGGGCGACAGCAATGAGAGTTGAGCCCAGGTAGTCTGGCTCCAGGGTCCTGACCTGGACCTTATGCAAAGGCATGAAAGGGACTCACCCAGTGTGTAGCACATGGCACAGAGCAGGCTCAGCGGAGGGCTTTTCTACCCTGGGGCAGTCCTTCTCCCTAAAAGGAAGACAGATGTAGTGAACGCTGGGGCAGGCTCCCCACGTGCCCAATGCAAGCCAGGCTTCGGGAGGGTTCGGAGATGCTCTTGGCAGACTCCGAGCTTCCACTGGAGAGGGCATGGGTTCAGTCCGTGGTCGGGGAACTAAGATCCCACATGCCTGCGCAGCGTGGCCAAGAAAAGAAGGAAAGAAAGAAAGAAATGCCTCTGGTTCAGGGAAGATGGAGGGAAAGCGGGGGTCAGGGGCCCCAGTGCGCGGGGGCTTCTTAGCAGAGGTGGGCTAGCAGGCAGGTGGGGCTGTGTCGGAGAAAGAGAGCACACTTCCAGTGAGCCACTGGGCTTGAGTGAGAGCTAGGAGGTGAGCGGCTATCAGACAGTCGAGGCTAAGGTAGCAGACAGACGTCGGGAAGGACTGTCAGATCTCCAACTCCATAAAGTCCCACGATGCCTGGCCAGGGCTGTGGGTCACAGGGGGTAGCCAGCAGGTGGGCAGCTCGGGAGAGTGACAGGAAGAAGCAGGCAGCCTTACCCCAGCCTGATGCTCAGGCTCGGGCCAGCCCCTGCTGCTGCCAGGCCAGAAACGCTGGGCCTGACCCCTGAGGGGTCCCACCCTGCTCCCTGCAGCTTTGCTCCCATCCTCCAGCCCTCTGGGGCCCCACCCCTTCAATCATTACCCCAGATCATTGAGCTGGAGGTCTGTAATGCTGACACTCCCTCAGAGAGCGTTTATCTGGAAAGTCATAAAATCACACCAGGCATGGTAATTAACGATTAGAGATGTTTATCCCTCAGCTGGCTCTGGCCTGTGGGAGTCTGTTGTGGGGACAGAGGCGGGCTTCCCTCCGCAGCGTGGAGGTGGGCGGCTGCCGCTGCCAGGTTCTTGCCATCAGAGATGTGCCAACAGAGGAGGTGAAGGCCAAGCCCTTCAGCCCCTCGCTGGGGGGCCCTGTTGGCGCACTGAGCCATCTTCCCAACAAAGTCGTCCAGGGCTGGCTCCTAACACCTGACATCTCCTACCCCCATGCCTTTGTATACACCGTGCCCCTCACCAAGAATACCGTCCTGCCTGTGCCTCAAGGCTCAGCCACCTCCAGGGAGCCCTCCCTGACCACTCTGGGCACAGAGCTGCTCCATTGCAGGCCATCAGGACTCTCGCCTCCTCTGATCTTCACCCGGCTGTGTGCGTCCTGTGGCTGCATCTTGATCACTCAGCCAGACCCAGTGTTCCCAGAGGGTACATAGTCACTCCCATCCTCCACCCCGCCGCTCTCCCATACCCAGCACTGGACCATGCACCCAACAGGTCCTCAAAAATGAACCATGACAGCAGAGTGTTAGAGTTGCAAGAGAACCCCCCTCACCCCCTAGACGATGCTCTGCATGTATGGACATCGGCACCTGGCTCTGGGGAGCAGGCCCAGGCTCCTTCTCTAAGGGACTTGTAGGCCAGACAAGGCCAAGGCCCAATGCACACCAACTCGGAAAATGGAGACCTGGACCAGAAGTTAGGAGCTTCCTTAGCATCTGACAGCATTTTGGGTGGCAGAGCCAGCACTCAAGCCAAGGTCTTCAGGAACCTGGGCCTGGCTCCCCAGGAAGAGTGGTGGCCCACCTGAAGTCACCCGGAGAAGGATAGAGGATCCTGGCGCCCCAGGGTGTGGGCTGGTTCTACCACCAAATTTCTATGTCACCCCAGGCATGTCCCTGGCCACCCGGGCCTCAGGGTGAAGATGATGGGCAGAGCACAAACCTGCCGGTGCACAGGCAAGCCCTGAGTAGGGTAGCCAGGACAAAGCGTCCGTCCACCCTAAAGCCAGAAGGATCTGGGTGGGAGAGGGCTCTGTGGCCGAGTGGGCCTCTCATTCCTCCTTGGACACAGGCAGAAACACATGCACTGCCCCTCCTCACCCAGCCGGCCCGGCTCCTTGCAGGCAGCAGCTGCCCATGGCATCCTCAGGGTAGCTGCAAAGGCCAGGCCTCCCCGGTGCTGGCATTCACCCACCCAGGCCCAGTGCTTCTGTGGACTGAGCCAACTCCCAGGGCAGCGGCCAGCACCCAACCAGCCACCCACCCCACAGAGCCTCCCCTACTGGCCTGTGAGTCACTGAGGCCCAAGTATCAGGTCATCTAGTCCAGCCCGGCCCAGAGCCTTGCCCCAAGATGCTCTGCAGGGGTACTTAGAAAAGTTAGAGATCAAGAGCTCATTGCAAGTCAAAGGCACAGACAAGGCTTTCAGGAGGAAACAAGACTAGGTTCTTAAACAGCCTATGTATGTGTGTGTGTGTGTGTGTGCGCAGGTGTTTTATGGGCACAGAGAGAGACGTGTAAAGACATAGCCCAGGCCATTAGCATAGCTTGCCCTGGGAAGTGAGAATTACAGAGGGTGGTGGCTATTGGCAACTGCTTTATAGCACTCTATACTTCCCACTGATCATAGTGAGTATGCATTTCTTTTGAAATTAAATTAATTATTTAAATAAAGTAACGTTAGGAAACCAGAGCCCACAGCTCCCCAAACACCAGTCCAGACACTGCTGCTCTGCCCGGTTCCCTCTCTGAGTTGGGATGAGCTTCAGGCATGGGTGGTGAAGAGGGTACAGTGTCACAGGGGAAACACCTGGTACAGAGAGAGTGACAGGACCACAGAGGAGTAGGGCAGACCCAGTGCTGCGGGGTAGGCACAAGCCTTCCTGGGAAGAACTGGAAACCAGGAGCCGCCACACGGCCATGACATCCTGCAGCCAAGCATCAAGTCCCAGCTCTGGTCCCTTCCAGCTCCCCAACTCTGGGCAAGTTGAATTTCTCTGGGCATGAAATAGGGTCCAGATGGGATGGTCCCTAAGGTCCCTGCAGCCTGAAATTCCAGGATTCTCGGTTTCACAATGGCCACTGTAGGTATGACCCTACGACTTATCACCTCCACTTTATAGGTGATATAACTGAGGCTCAGAAAGGGTAATTGTTTTTTTTTTAACGAATGTATCTGCCTTTTTTTTTTTTTTTTTTTTTTTTTTTTTTTTGGCTGCATTGGGTCTTCGTTGCTGCGCACGGGCTTTCTCTCTAGTTGCGGCGAACGGGGGCTACTCTTCGTTGCGGTGCGCGGGCTTCTCGTTGAGGCAGCTTCTCTTGTTGTGAAGCATGGGCTCTAGGCGCGTGGGCTTCGGTAGTTGCAGCACGCGGGCCCTAGAGCACGCGGGCTTCAATGTACCAGAGCCAGCCCCAGAGTCAGACCACCTGAGCTTCTAGCTCTGGCTCCACCTCTTAGCAGCTCTACGGTTTGGACCGGTCGAGTAGCCACTCTGAGCCTCAGTTTACCCCTCTGCAGCTGGGAATAAGCCCTCGCTGGTTACATAGCACAGTCCATCATGTCAGATTCACCATGGGGCGCAGCACACTTAGGTCTTTGGAAAATGGGAGCTATTATTTTTACTATAACTCTATAAATTATCCCACAGTTGAGAGAAAAAGGAGAGGTAGGCACTGAACTCCAGGTGTATTGGCCTGCGGGTCGGGAAATCTGTGTGCCCCAGGCAGATCCCAGGACTGTCTTCTACAGACTGAGTCAACTCCCACGTCAGTAGCCAGCTTGCTGCCCGTTTGAGGCTCCCATTTGGAGCCTCCGTTTCCCCATCTGTAACAGGAGGGGCTGGACTGGGTGACCTCTGGGAACACACGGATCTATCATCTGGGCAGAGGAAGGTCTCCATGAGATACTCTTTTCCCACAATGGGTTGGAGAATTTTGCTCTCCAGTAGTCTGTCATCCTTTTCTGGGGGGTGGGTGTGTGGTTGATGCATTAGGAGAAGGAGGGATAGGTCAGGGACAGGAATAAAGAGAACATGAATGGGGCACTTCCTGTATACCAGGCGCCATCCTAGGAGCTGTCCACATATGAATGCATTTAGTCCTCAAAACAAGCCTATGAGGCCACAACTAGTTAACCCATTTTATAGACAAGAAAACTGACATCCAAAGAAATGAAGTCATATGCCCAAGGTCAGAGGGTTGGTGAAGCAGGATTTGAACCCAGTCCTCCCCAATCTTCATGGCTCCATGGTCTAAACTGCTGAGTGGTGCCAGCTCTAGGTCTCTACGAAAGACAGAAACCCAGGGAGGGAGAGATGGGGCAGGGCAACAGGTGCAAAAAGAGCAGGTGCAACGTCCCAGGGCAGCCTGGGCACGTTTTCAGGGAGGGGAGTGGGAATCCCATCTGGGAAACAATCGTTTGCCTCCATTTGGGGCCTGCTGAGTTTCAGAGTCATTGTGCCCAGACAGGAATGCACAACCCTCTCCCTGTGGGGCTGCAGAGGGTCCCGCTGCCACGTCACCAGGAAGGAGGCACCTGCTGGCCTGAGAGAAAAGTGGGGCCTGAACTGCTTTGTCTAGTGGCCACTGGGCCCGGGAGATGCTTCACCTGCCACTGCTTGGTCACTCCAGTCCAGTGACCCCCACTAAAGCCACGCACTCCGAGACGGTTTGCTCCCCAATATCACATGCAAAATGTCTGTCAGCTCTTGACACAAATATTACTTAAGGCCCAAAGTCTAATGTAAGGCTTCCTTTTAGGGAGATTGCCTCATTTAACAAAACTCTCTGTCTCTGTTCCCCCAAGGTAAGCACGCTGATGATAACGCATTCCCCGCACTGTGATTTGATCTGGGAATAGCCTTGCTTCATCGTCAGATTGGTATTTTTATTATTTTCCCCGGAATAAATAAACAGGAAGCCATCCAGGTGAAAGGCAGTCATCTGCCCCCAGGACCTTTAGTCGCTGGCCTCCTAACTGGGTCACCTCTCCTCTTCAGGGCTCACTCATTCACTCATTCATTCTTTCACTGATTCAGTCAACAAACTGCCCCAGTGTCAGTACCCTAGGCTGTACCCAGGCTCTGAGCTGGGGAGTTGGGGTGTGACTAAGACAGAAGAGCCCTGTCCTCAAGGAACTGACACCTTCATGGTATTGCCCTACACCCCTCATCTTCCTTTAAATGCCCCCCAG